CTCTACCTCCCAAGCAGCTGGGACCACAGGCGCCCGCCACAATGCCCGGCTATTTTTTGGTTGCAGCCGTCATTGTTGTTTGGTGGGTCCGGGCTGGATTCGAACCTGCCACCTTAGGTGTATGTGGCTGGCGCCTTAGCCACTTGAGTCACAGGCACTGAGCCATTTCTAAGGTAAATTTCAAATTGTAGTTGAGCCCTTCACCCAGGGGTCATTCTGAAGTCCCTCACATGTATCTCGTTTTTCTATGATGGCATTTAATAGTCAGCCCATACTATGCTGGGTGAGGGACATTTCATGGTCTTTTCTGGGTCCTTCTCCCTTTTCCTGTGGCAGGAGGAATTCTAGGAGCCTTATGGAATGCTGAGGTCTCAGGTACCTTGAGGTGGGGGACTTGGTATCATCACATTGTCATTCCCTAGGCATCCTCCTCCTCATCTGGGCATCAGTCCATGAAGGACAAATAGTGTTAAAAGTCTTATAATACAAAAGAGCAACCCTGGCCTCCCCCCCCCTTCTCATTACCCAGGGGCAACCCTTTCCATTTTTTAAAAGCTATTTTTTGATCTACAAGCAGCTTTTCACTCCTTCTCGAATCTCTGGTTTGGCCCTCCTGCCTCTACTCCAGCCTTCACCATGTCCATCAGGGTTACCCAGAAGTCCTACAAGGTGTCCACCTCCGCCCCACGGGCCTTCAGCAGCCGCTCATACAGCAGTGGGCCCGGTGCCTGCATCAGCTCCTCGAGCTTCTCTCGGGTGGGCAGCGGCAGCTTCCAGAATGGCCTGGGCACCAGCCTGGGTCTGAGTGGAGGCTACGCCGGGGCTGGAGGTATGGGGGACATCACAGCCGTCACAGTGAACCAGAGCCTGCTGAGCCCGCTCAACCTGGAGGTGGACCCCAACGTTCAGGCCGTGCACACCCAGGAGAAGGAGAAGATCAAGATCCTCAATAACAAGTTTGCCTCCTTCATCGACAGGGTGCGCTTCCTGGAGCAGCAGAACAAGAGGCTGGAGACCAAGTGGAACCTCCTGCAGCAGCAGCAGACGGCTCGCAGCAACATGGACAGCATGTTTGAAAGCTACATCAATAACCTTCGGCCACAGCTGGACACACTGGGCCAGGAGAAGCTGAAGCTGGAGGCAGAGCTTGGCAACATGCAGGGGCTGGTGGAGGACTTCAAGAGTAAGTATGAGGAGATCAGTAAGTGTACGGAGATGGAGAATGGATTTGTCCTCATCAGGAAGGATGTGGATGAAGCTACATGAACCAAGTGGAGCTGGAGTCCCACCTGGAAGGGCTGTTTGACGAAATCACTTCCTCAGGCAGCTGTATGAAGAGGAGCCCTGAGAGATGCAGTCTCAGATCTCGGACACGTCTGTGGTCCTGTCTATGGACAACAGCCGCTCCCTGGACATGGACAGCATCATTGCTGAGGTCCGCGCCCGGTACGAGGAGATTGCCAACTGCAGCCAGGCTGAGACTGAGAGCGTGTACCAGACCAAGTACGAGGAGCTGCAGTGTCAGGCTGGGAAGCATGGGGACAACCTGCGGCACACGAAGACGGAGATCTCTGACATGAACTGGAACATCAGCCAGCTCCAGAATGAGATCGGAGCTCCCAAAGGCCAGAGGGCTTCCCTGCAGGCTGCCGTCATGGATGCCGAGCAGTGTGGGGAGCTGGCTGTTAAGGATGCCAACGCCAAGCTGGCCCAGCGGGAGGTTGCCCTGCATCAGGCCAAGCAGGACATGGCTCAGCAGCTGCTCACCAGGATCTGATGAATGTCAGGCTGGCCCAGCTGGAGGCTGCCCTGCATCAGGCCAAGCAGGACATGGCTCAGCAGCTGTATGAATACCAGGATCTGATGAATGTCAAGCTGGCCCTGGGCATGGAGATCGCCACCTACCGCAAGCTGCTGGAGGGCAAGGAGAGCCGGCTGGAGTCGGGGATGCAGAGCATGAGTATCCACACGGAGACCACCAGTGGCTACTCAGGTGGCCTCAGCTCGGCCTACGGGGGCCTTGCAAGCCCAGACCTCAGCTATGGTCTGAGCTCCTTCCAGACTGGCTTTGGCTCTGGTGGAGGCTCCAGCTTCTTCAGCCGCCCCAGCTCCAGGGCTGTGGTTGTGAAGATGATTGAGACCCAAGACGGGAAGCTGGTGTCTGAGTCCTCTGATGCCCTGCCCAAGTGAGCTGCCACTGCGGCCCCTCCAGTCCACCCTCTCACACGGCTGCCACAGAGCCTGTGGGGGCAGCCGCTGTGCCAGGGAGCCCATGGAACAGGAGACCTACCTGAGGCTCAGCCCCATCGCTCAGCCCATCCTTGTGGGGAGTTAGCTGCCTGGATTACTCCCTCTTACCCGTGCTCCCAACTAAAAGCCAATTTGATTGCTTTTTCCAACATAAAGCCTCAGCCCCAATGCCAACCAAAAATAAAGAAATAAATAAAAGCTATTTTTCCAGGTTCATAAAGAATATGTGTATATGGCTCTCTGTAGATTTGGTCCCTTTAATTCTTCACTTAATTCCTATTATGGTAGGCGAGAATATTTTGCTTTCGTTCACCCCCTTCAGTTCTCTCATCTAATCTAGTAGATGTCAGGTTTTGCCAATACGGAGCATTTCACCATAATAACTCTACTGTTATTGCTCAGTGTCAAAGGCACCCTGATCTTATGTCCTTTCTCCCACAACTCTTTTAAAATGTTAATAATTGAGCCATTTTATTTGCTTTCTTGTTTTCTTTGCATTTATTGCTAAACCTCCTCACATTTTCCAGTAATTCTGCGAAATAGTTTTTTTTTTTTTTTTTTTTACAGAGCTTGGTTTTTATTGTTATGTATGTTTGTCCTCACCACCATAGGCCACCCAGGCCTCCAGGGAGGAGCAGGCAGCAAAGACAGCTCCAGATGGCTCTATGCTGCCATTCTGGGCCTTGGGGCTTATAAAATGAGCATGGTGGGTTCCACCTTCCAACATGAAGTGTAAACTCTATTTCACAGACTTCATCAAGAGGGAGAGATGGCTGAAGGCACTTTGAGCAAAGAGCAAACCCAATGTCCGAGTTCATCTTCCTTCTGGTTACTCTGATGAAGTCTGGACACCACTCTGATAGAGAACCAGCACTGCTGGCAGCTGGGGCTAGTGCGCCAACTCGGCGGGGCAAAAGCCCCACTCACTGGTAGAACTTCTTGTTAGGATTGTTGGCGTAGTCAATTAGCAGCTGGCATGGGGTGAACTGTTTTCCATAGGCATCCTCATACTTCCTGAGCCGGTCTGCTATCTTCTGAGCACCGTACAGATCTGTGAATCTGAAAGGCCCTCCAAGACAAGGTGGGAAGCCGAGCCCAAAGACTGCTCCAATGTCTCCCTCTGCAGGTGTGGCCAAGATCCCTTCCTGCAGGCACATGACTGCCTCATTCACAAATCTTGTCAACAGGCGGTACTGGATGTCTTCATCAGAGGAG